CTCCGGTGTTGCCCCGCCCCCTGAGGGACCACGCCCCCAGCCCGGTCTCCCCGCCTCTCCGCAGCTCGGTGGGCGAGGTGCAGTGGGAGGCGGAGTTCTTCGCGCTGCAGGACAGTAACAATAAGCTGGCGGACGCCCTGCGAGAAGCTAACGCCGCGGCCACGCAGTGGAGGCAGCAGGTGGAGGCCCAGCGTGCGGAGGCCGAGAGGCTGCGTCAGCGGGTGAGGGCCTCCTTCCCCCCACAGGAGCCGGGTCTCAGTGCGTCCCACCTGCCCTAGGTCAGGTCACCTCCGGAGCTCAGTGGCTCTCCTGAGGGTCATCATGCTCTGAAGCTCGGAGGCTGAGGCGGGAGGATAGCAAGTTTGCCCGGCCTGGGCAACTTAATGAGATCCTTATTTCAAAAATGTAAAAAGGACTGGAGTTGCAGCTCAGTGGAGAAAAGAACAATGTCGAGCTGCCCGATAGGCGGGGAGTCCAGCCAGGAGGGTGAGGGTCTGGGCTTCGCAGGCCGGGTTGGGCTAAGTGTCGTGTGGGTGCAGGTGGCGGAGCTGGAAGCGCAGGTGGCTGCAGAGCCGGCACCTGCCACAGAGAAGGAGGCACCTGGCCAGCCGCTGGAGAAGCTGGAGGCGCTGGTGCGGACCAAGGACCAGGTGAGATGGCCGCGGCTGGGCCTGCCTTCCCTCACCGCTTGGGGGAGCAGGGCCCTGAGCAACCCCCTCCTGCCCTAGGAGATCCAGACACTGAAGAACCAGACCGGAGGGCCCCGGGAGGCCCCAGATGCCGCAGATCGTGAGGAGACTGAGCAGAAGGTGCAGGTGGGTGTGGGCGAAGGGTAGGGGTGGGACAGATGGGATCTGCCAACCCACGCTAGGCCTTCATCTGTGAAAGGGAAAGGAGCTGTCCATGGTGGTGCAGGCCTGACAGCCCAGAACTCTGGGAGGCTGAGGCAGGAGGGTGGGAATTCTCTTAGAAGAGCTGGGAGGTATTCCCTATGGGCTCCTGGGCAGCGGGTGCAGCATGTGCAAAGTCCCTGGGGTAGGAAGAACAATGCTTAAGGAGCTGCTGGGAGGCTGAGCAAGAGGCGGCCAGGTCAGCCCTCTGGATGCGGTGAGCGTTTTGCCCCAGTGACAGGAGCCCCAGGAGGCTCTGATCAGAGAATGGGGGCCTTGTGGGTAGCCCTTGGGTGCCGATGACCCTGGGTGGGGCCGATGACTCTGAGTCTCGTCCCCTCCCCCTGCAGGACCTGGAAGCACGCAACACAGAACTAGAGAACCAGCTGCGGGCCACCGAACGCAGCCTGGAGGAGGCACGGGCAGAGCGGGAGCGGGCACGGGCCGAGGTGGGCC